CTGTATTTGCATTTTTGAGTCTTAGTCTAGTACGCATGGTTATGGCTTTGTGAATAAGCATTATTGAAAGTTTTGCTCTCTCTGTGTCAGCAGTGTCCAGTTGCTTGAGTTTTTCCTCTGTACAAGTCAATGACCCATGTCTTTTTGGTCTGAAAAAGATGCCCTATGCATGTATAGTTTCCTTTTCTAAACAGTATTTGAAATTCCATAACATTGGCTAAATTAAGGATACTCTCAATACAATAGAATCAGAACTTAGATTATATGAGAAGAATGTGATGTCAGGGTTAGAAGAAGACTTATTTATAACCTGTGGTAGACAGATGACATAGCCTTGCTTGTTGCAAGTGAGGAGCACTTAAAGAACTTGCTGATGAAGATCAGTGATCTCAGCCTGCAGTATAGATTACAACTCAATAGATAACATCATGATAAATGGAGAAAAGGTTGAAGTTGTCAAGGATTTTGTCTGGCTTGAATCTACAATCAATACTCATGGAAATAGCAGTGAGGCAATCAAAGAAAGGGTGGATGGCATTGGGTGAATCTGCTGTAAAAGGCCTCTTTAGAGTGTTGAAAAGCAAGGATGTTATTTTGAGGATAAGGTGCACCTGAACCAAGCCATGGTACTTTCAGTTGCCTCATATGCATGTGGATTTGGACACTGAAAAAGGAAGACTAAAGAAAAAGCAATGCATTTGAACTCCGATGTTGGCAAAGGATATTGAAAGTACCATGAACTGCCAACAGAACAAACATCTGTCTTGGAAAAAGAACAGCCAGAAGGCTCCTTGGAGGCAAAGATGGCAAGACTTCATCTCGTGTACTTTGGAGAAACCAATCCCTAGAGAAGGGCATCATGTTTGGTACAGTGGATGGGCAGCAAAAAAAGAGGTAGGCCCTCAATGAGACGGATTGACACAGTAGCTGCAACAATGGGCTCAAACATAATAGCAATGATGAGGATTACACAAGACTGGAGGGTGTTTTTTCTGTTGTTCATAGTATCAGCATGAGTTAGAACCTGACAACAATATCAATATGCCCCAGGGCATAATTTCTAATATTTCCCAACAAAAGGATAATGATGTCTCTAAAGTGGACCAGGGACATATATATATATATATAAGCCACAAATGCATAAGTGGATTTGAGGTCATACTTAATCATAACCTTAATCTATGAATAATTAGTTCTTTTGTGTTTAATCATTTTATTGGGGGTTCATACAACGCTTATCACAATCCATACATACATCCATTGTGTCAAGCACATTTGTACATTTATTGCCATCATCATTCTCAAAACATCTGCTTTCCACTTGAGCCCCTGACATTAGCTCCTCCTTTTTCCCCTCCCCCCTCCCCTCATTCCCCCGTCCCTCATGAACCCTTGATAATTTACAA